TTTAAAACTCTTCCCTGAACTGAAATGTAGTAGTGGGCTGTATTTTCCACACGACTGACGTCAGGTTCAAGTACACACAAGCTGGCGCGAGCGCGACTTACTCGTGTACTGCAGTTTGGCTGGTGGTAACGTTGCCCGCCCGCATACCGCCTCCCATGGTCGAAACTGGTATTACGACACCTGCCGGGCCGGGGCTAGTAATTTAGCATGCTAATTCAGGTTAATATCTCGGCAGCACTATAACTTGTCAGTTTTTTAATGACATCATCAACCTTATTTCTTCTCAATCTTTTGATGCGTGTTGCTCATTTTTGGGATATTTTAACCTCAATTTTTACAGATGGCACCTTTAAATCGAACAAACCACACGGGGTTTTCATCGTGTACCAAAAGTTGTGGTTCATAAGGGGGGAATGATATTTTTGCTAGGCTTGCAAACCTACGTCTGCGGTCGGGAGGAGCTGAATGGGGAAAATGCTCGTTTGTGTAGCGATCACTTCGTCAAAGGTGAGTTAATACAACTTTATGTATTTAGAATCAACATCAAATTGTAGGCTAACATTGACGATCAAACCATATTACCAAAGATTATTCTTTTTAATTTAAGAGCTGATTCAACAGCAGTGATGTAGCCTATAGATTCAACATCATAGTGTAACGTTGATTCAACAATATTACCATTTATTATTTTTGTTAATTTCAATATTGATTAAGCATCAGTGATGTAGAATCAAATCATAGTGCAAAGTTGATCCAATAGCATTGATTCCCATTGATTTTTTTTTTTTTTGAGGGTGCAAAAGTGATGTTGAAAAAATATCACTTTGTAATGTTGAATCAATACTATCTAGCCTATTCTACCATTGATTTTTGGTTGAAATCTCATCATTGCTTCAACATTAACTGAGGTTTCAAAAGTGACGTTGAAACAACATCACTTTGTAATGTTGGAGCAATAGCCTATTAACACCATTGAATTGTGGGTGAACATTATTTCAATATTAGGCCTAACTGAGGGTGCAAGAGTGATGCTAAATCAACATCACTTTCTAACGTCATTTCAATGTAATCCACATCAACACTGACTTAACATTGTTTCAATGGTTACATGCTATCTATCTGGGGAGGTTTTTTCCCCACTCATTAAATTATAAACGGTGTGAAATGAGAAAGTTCCCTGATTTGGACACTAGGTGGAGCCGTTACCCAGCAGTGAATCCACATATCCACTCAGTGTGTGTACTGTTGTGTGTGTTGGGGAAAGTGTTGTGACGTACTGGCATATATTAACAAGTCATAAAATCAATGGACAGAGCTTGATGAGTGTTAATAAATGACGAGGAGAGCATCCGAAGGAAGAAAATGTCCTCTGAGACTCACAGCGAGATCATTAATGCTGTAATTCGTCCTGAATATTTTAATTTTACATATTTATTTTTTATGTTAAAATTCTTTGGCCTCGTTTCATTTTGCACTTTTTAGTAGTTACTTTTTTGAGCTTCTTTTCCTTTCCTTTAACTTAACTTTATTTTGTTAGAGAGATGCTGTTATAGCATCTCTCTAAGAAGTTATATTTTATTACTTTTTTATGTTTGGAGATGCTGGAGTATCTTTGGCTGAAGGTGTATTTTTATTTTTATTTTTTTCTATTTATTTATTTACTTTATTTGGGTCACAGTGATGCTGGAACATCTTCGACTAAAGGCTTATTTTATTTATTTATTTATTTTTATTTGGGTCACGGTGATGCTGGAGCATCTTGGGCTGAAGTTTTATTTTATTCTTTCACTTTTTTATTTTAATTTTATTTTATTTTATTGTGGTTGTGGAGATGCTTGATCATCTCAGGGCTGAATGTTTATTTTAATTTTTACTTTTACTTTTATTTTATTTTATTTTATTAGGATTGCGGGGATGCTTGAGCATCTCAAAGCTGAAGGTTTATTTTTATTTTTACTTTTAATTTAATTTAATTTTATTAGGGTTGTGGAGATGCTTGAGCATCTCAGGCCTGAAAGTTTATTTTAATTTTAATTTTTACTTTTAATTTAATTTAATTTTATTAAGGTTGTGTGGAGATGCTTGATCATCTCCTGAAGGGTTTATGGGTTTATTTTATTTTTTGATTGTTTATAAAGCATGTACACTTTGACATCGTCACATTGATGGCTATAATCATCAAAATTATAACAAATAACAGCTTGAAATATCTCACTTTGCATGTAATTAGTTTATATAATATATTCGTAATTACTGAAATAAATGAATGAGTTTTTTTAAGTTTCATTTCATCTGTAAATAAAAAAGTTCACCACATCCTTCTGCTTTCAGTATATTACGCATCAACACCCCTGACAGCGAAGCGTCTTTCACAATAGCCTAGCTATCTGACGGATCTAACAGAGACAAATGCAAGAGGTTGAGTTTTCTGAATCTCAGAAACTCTCTGCAGACAAACCCAAGAAAATCTCCAAGCCCTGCCTAAAATCAAGCTTAGCCTTTTGACACAGAATAAAATATGGAGCACTTGGTCCGGGCCGCTGCTTGAAGCTGCTTGCTGAGGTGAATTATTTATGTGGAGATTCTCCAGGAGTCGAAGCGAGAGACACTGGAATCACAGCTGCATATTAAAAAGCTCAGCTCTCGGATAAGCGGCGCTCGAGTCACTCACACACACACACACACACACACACACACACACACACACTCAAACCTTTCGCAACTTAGGCCAAAAACTGTCTGAAAGCAGTCAGGGACATCTGACGAATAACATATCAAGATCTGCGAGATCACAGAGTTTGACCGAGTGCTCCTCAGTCTACATGAAGCTTCGACTCCAGGACTCTTGAGTGGACACTGAACAATAGCTATATGCCAATGCAATAATGCAAAAAAGTTCACCCAAAATAAAAATTCACGTTTTCAGATTTTTAGTGTCAGTAGTACTGCATTAAACTACTATATAATGTTTAATTTAATGTATGCTACACTCTCAGAAAAAAAGGTACAAAAGCTGTCACTGATACCTTTTCAAAAGGTACACTTTTGTACCCAAAGGCTGCATATTGGTACCTTTGTGCTACATATTAGCACCTAAAATGGACATATTAGCGCCTGAAATGTACATATTAGCACCTAAATAGACATATTAGCGCCTGAAATGTACATATTAGCACCTAAATGGACATATTAGCTCATTAAATGGACATATTAGCACCTAAATGTACATATTAGCTCATTAAATGGACATATTACCACCTGAAATGTACATATTAGCTCATGAAATGGACATAGCACCTAAAATGTGCATATTAGTACCTAAAATGTTCATATTAGGGCCTAAAATGTACATATTAGCGCCTGAAATGTACATATTAGCACCTAAAATGCACATATTAGCACCTAAAATGTACACATTAGTGCCTGAAATGTACACATTAGCACCTAAAATGTACATATTAGCGCCTGAAATGTACATATTAGCACCTAAATGTACATATTAGCTCATGAAATGGACATATTAGCACCTAAAATGGACATATTAGCACCTAAAATGTACATATTAGTACCTAAAATGTTCATATTAGGGCCTAAAAAAAATGTACATATTAGCGCCTGAAATGTACATATTAGCACCTAAATGGACATATTAGCTCATGAAATGGACATATTACCACCTGAAATGTACATATATAGCTCATGAAATGGACATAGCACCTAAAATGTACATATTAGTACCTAAAATGTTCATATTAGGGCCTAAAATGTACATATTAGCGCCTGAAATGTACATATTAGCACCTAAATGGACATATTAGCTCATGAAATGGACATATTACCACCTGAAATGTACATATATAGCTCATGAAATGGACATAGCACCTAAAATGTACATATTAGTACCTAAAATGTTCATATTAGGGCCTAAAATGTACATATTAGCGCCTGAAATGTACATATTAGCACCTAAATGGACATATTAGCTCATGAAATGGACATATTACCACCTGAAATGTACATATATAGCTCATGAAATGGACATAGCACCTAAAATGTACATATTAGTACCTAAAATGTTCATATTAGGGCCTAAAATGTACATATTAGCGCCTGAAATGTACATATTAGCACCTAAATGGACATATTAGCTCATGAATTGGACATAGCACCTAAAATGTTCATATTAGTACCTAAAATGTACATATTAGCACCTGAAATGTACTTATTAGCACCTAAGATGGACAAAAGTTTACTTTTTAAAAAGGTACAGCCCCAGTGACAGCTTTTGTACCTTTTTTCTGAGAGTGTATGGGGGAATATATTTGTGGGTCCTGATAATGCCAATGTCTGATGTTAGCAGTAAAAGTGGCCTACATTATTTTAAATATATCTAGTGACCGAGTGCAAGAATATTCGTCTAAAATAATTCAGTATTTTCAGCTTCAGAATCATGAATATTGTTATTCTGGTGTCTCTATTGTCCTGTGCTTTGGGTTTCAGCACCAAGTCTAATCATTTACACACACAATGTAAAACCAAATAGCATTTTAATCAACAGTGCAATTCTTGTTCACATAATATGGTATCGTGAGTTCAGTATCGTGGGGAATCACGAGGGAATCGTTGTGGAAACACAAGCAACTCTTAATTTAAGACTCATGAGATCGTTCGGGTTTCTTTCCTATTAAAAACAAGAGATTGTGTTTTATGAGAACATGAACTCTGCTTCTTGTTGTAAAAGTAGCGAGCTAGTTAGTAGGCTATATAAGTTACAGTGTTGGTAATTTTACCCAACACTGCAGTGAAAGTCATGATGTTCTGTTTCCCAAAGTCTCATCACGCCCTCATCGAGTGTGTGTGATCTACACACTCTTCCACCAGATGGTTACCGCATAAAGGCCACATGAATATGCAAAGATCTGTAATATATGCCCTCAGCGGCGTTCAGGAGGACGAAACATGCGGCACGCTGTTACTCAACTAACTTTAGTATTAGCAAACTTTGCCCATAAAGAGGCTATACTGCAGTCGACCAATCGTATTTAGGAAGTAGTTTCTGAAGAAAAGAGGCCGGAATTTTCTTTTGTTGTTGTAATGCTGTCAACTTTTTATAGAGTCAACAAAACAAAAATGAGGAATAGTGTATTTTGTTTTCATCTTACTTTTAACGAGATATTTAAAAACGCATCAGAACAGGTAAAACGTTTTTATTTTACTTTAATTTATTAATATATTTATTTTTTATTTATCTAGTGTCTCTGGCTGAAGTTTATTTGATATATTTTATTGGGCTGAAGTTTTGTTTAATTTTATTTAATTTAATTAAGTTGTTTATCTACTTTCTCGGCCTGAAGTTTTATGTTTTATTTTATTTTTGATCTACTGTTTGTGCTGAAGTTTTTTTTAAACTTATTTACATTTACATAACATTTATTCATTTAGCTGACGCTTTTATCCAAAGCGACAATTTGCTTTACTGTACTTTATTGTTCTTTACTGTACTGTACTTTACTTCACCTCACCTCATTAAAAGTCTAAAACCTGATGAGTTAGTTCAACTCAAACCGTTCCAGGAAACCGATTGCCTTAAATCATTTAAGTTTATTAACTCAAACAATTTAAGCATAAAAAAATATTTGATTTGTTTCCAAGTAACTCAATAACTAATTGTTAAGATAACTTGGGTAAATAAAGTTAATAGTAGTAATTAGTTACTATAACTCAAATCTATCAAGTACACTGTAAACCTGAATAAGTTGGCAGAACTCCATTCACTTTTAATAGTATATAACTTAGTTAGCTTTAAACGCTAATCTTCTCGCGTAGTAAATGCTAACTAGAAACAGCACAGAAACACTTGCTGTATGAGCGTAATAATATAAAGGGTTAATTGCTCTCAAATCAAGCTGAATGCACCACTTGTCACCATGATGGCAACTATCCGAAAGCCAACATTAACAAAAATTCTTCTAAATTAGCATAACAAAACATTAATCACTACTAAATCTCACACTTAAAATTAATTTTACACATTATATTGCCCTTAATTTTAGCATTTACACTCTCTTTCGAATGCCATCGGCAAAGCATGCTGGGAAATAGATATCCCAGCCGTTTCAGTTAAACTTAAGTTCGTCTAAATTAAAAAAAATAATTTCATAAAACTCAAAACAATGAAACAGTTCACTTTACTTAAAATATATCAGTTCTGTGAACTTGAAAGAAAAAGAAAGTGCTAAATACTCATAAAAATTAATTTGACTGAACTAATTCGTTGAAATTAAGTTTGTCCTACTCAAACCAATTAATTATTTTGACCGTTACACTGTAAAAAAAATATTGATGGTTTAACTTAAAAAAGTAAGTAACCTGGTTGCCTTAAAATTTTAAGTTGATTGAACTGGAAAAAGTGAGTTAATGCAATGAAGTAGATTAATTTAACCATCAGAAACTCAAAATAATAAGTTATCTCAACTAAATAAATTATTATAAAGTTGATTTGACAAAAGAAAATATGTTGTGATAACAAATCTTGAAAATATTTTTTACAGTGAGTTGGACTCCACATCATCCTAAACGATAAATATGTGTGTGTTTTATACTGGCATCAATGCAAATCCACGATAAAAGCCACAGCAAGATGCTGACTGAGTCAGACGGTCATTATAACCGCTCACTTCCCCTGATGAAAGATTTAAAAGCACTGATTGTATCTCAAATACATGATTGGTGAATCAAATGTTAACGATATCAACGCTGATTAGATTTAGCTGACATCTGCAAAGAGAAAAAAAAATGCTGGGTTGTTTTAACCCAATTTTGGGTCAAATATGGACAAACCCAGCCATTGGGTTACATTTTTAAATTACATTTTAACCCAATGATTGAGTTTGTCCATATTTGACCCAAAATTGGGCTAAAACAACTCAGCATTATTGACCAAAAGTGAAGATTGTAACCAAGAAAGGGAACCTACCAGAAACCGACATCCGTCGATCCTGTATCTCTGAACCGACTCTGCACAGTCCCTCATGTTGTTCTGTGAGCAAACACCATTAATCTTCAGCTCATTTACATATTCATTAGTAAACTACACAGAAAAGCATAAATCGTGGTTCACACACACACACACACACACACACACACACACTCTCACCTGAATGAGAAAGCTGGACACCTGCGCCGGACTCCATCCTTCACATTGTTCCCGGGTCGGTAAGCTCATCGTGGGTCGGTTATACCCGTATGATAACTAACATGCAGGAGAGGCCAGTGTAAGGCAAGACTTTGCAACATGGGAAGTTCCTCTTGTTCTCAGTGATGGTAACTGACCCCACATGAAATGCTTTTCTCACACTTCTCTCTGCGGTGATGAATTCACTCGGGTAGTTAATGCAAAGCCACAAGCGCTCGATTTAACTTCACGTGTAATTTTAGGGCCACTATAAAGCGCAGATAAAATGTGAACGTTCTGCTTTTTATAGGAAAGTCCTGCTCTGTGCTGGAAAACACTGTTTGCATAAACCAAAAGGGAAATGAAAGTTTATACTGAGCACGCATTTTCACCATATATTTAGACCGGAAATAGCTGTTACATATGTAAGAGTTTTTTGGTTTCATGCATGGTTGTTTCTCACAGAGGTTCTCACTGCCATAAGATTTGTTCTTTATTGTCTAAAATATTGATTTTCAGTTGTCACATTTTAAATGTTAGGCTTATTATATAAGTCAAACCAAAAATTATTCAGACACCGCGGATATCATTTTTGATATTGTTTTACTTGTGGTTCATTATAGTTCATTTATGGCTTGCTCTTTATTTCGATAGTCCACTTTAGATATTCTACTTTGCAAAATATTTTCAAGATTTGTTATCACAACTATAAATCAACTTTATAATAATTTATTTAGTTGAGATAACTTATTATTTTGATTTTCTGATGGTTAAATTAATCTCCTTCGTGGTATTAACTCACTTTTTTCCAGTTCAATCAACTTAAAATTTTAAGGCATCCCAGGTTACTTACTTTTTTAAGTTAAACCAACAATATTTTTTTACAGTGTTGTTATCACAATATTTTTTCTTTTGTCAAATCGACTTAAATAATTCATTTAGTTCAGATAACATATAATTTTGAGTTTCTGATGGTTAAATTAATCTCCTTCATTGTATTAACTCACTTTTTCCAGTTCAATGAACTTAAAATTTTAAGAAAACCAGGTTACTTACTTTTTTAAGTTAAACCATCAATTTTTTTTTTTACAGTGTACATGTCAATTAACTCTCATTAGAGTAGGCTAATGTTAGGTTAGGGTTCAGGTTAGTAGAGTAAGTTCAATCAATCAATCAACAAAATTTATTTCAGTCCTCACACAAAAACTAAACCAACAAAGAAACAATATAAACATGCATAACAACCGAAAAAGGTGTTGCTTATTATCCCAACCCTTTATACATAATTACTCAATGAGCGTCACTTTTCTCTCTGGATTTAATCCATTCAAAATAAATGTACATTTACGAACATTTCCAAAATGCTCATACATGATTACAAGGGTGCACATCTCAATAGTTAACATACACTCACCTAAAGGATTATTAGGAACACCTGTTCAATCTCTCATTAATGCAATTATCTAATCAACCAATCACATGGCGGTTGCTTCAGTGCATTTAGGGGTGTGGTCCTGCTCAAGACAATCTCCTGAACTCCAAACTGAATGTCAGAATGGGAAAGAAAGTTAATTTAAGCAATTTTGAGCGTGGCATGGTTGTTGGTGTCTGAGGCCCTGTTTACATAACACAGTCTCATCCCAAAAAGTCATATAACTGACGTTTTGGGACGTATTTTGACCATACGTCAATATTCGCCTTTTTAGGGCCCCCTTAAACGTCGGTAGATGGCGATCCCGGGCCGTCATACAACTGACGCTTTACCTTTAACGTGACGGGTTAGGTTTAGGTATGGGGTATAGAGTTAGGATCCCATAACCTCATCTACCGACGTTTAAGGGGGCCCTAAAAAGGCGAATATTGACGTATGGTCAAAATACGTCCCAAAACGTCAGTTATATGACGTCTTGGGATGAGACCGGGTTGGTTTACACGAGAACGTTCGCGGGTGAAAACGTAAAAATATTTTATCGGATGTGCCTTTCGTTTACACGGCAACAAAAAAGTGAAACCACCTTCCAGAGTGGAAATCTTAAAAACGCTCCACCGCCGCGTTCCCGAGTAAACGGTAAAAACACACAAGTCTGCTTGACGTTGAAAGTTGTACGCAGGCGCGTGGACTTGGTGTTGTTGTAGTATGCACTCCTAGCCGCCTGAAGTGCATACTACATTGAATTTCAGACACTTTTGCGTCTCCGTTTGCACGCGGATTTCCCACACAAAACGCTCGTCTAAACGCAGAATAAAAAAAGATGACGCAACGCCACTTTTGCGTTTTTTCTTCAGAATCGTTTAGCCTGAGTATTTCACAATCAATTTTCACACACAACCATTTCTAGGGTTTACAAAGAATGCTGTGAAAAGGGAAAAACATCCAGTATGCGATGGCAGTCCTGTGGGCCAAAATGCCTTGTTGATGCGAGAGGTCAGAGGAGAACGGGCCGACTGATTCAAGCCGATAGAAGAGCGACTTTGACTGAAATAACCACTCGTTACAACCGAGGTATGCAGACAACACACACAACCTTGAGGCGGATGGGCTACAACAGCAGAAGACCCCACCGGGCACCACTCATCTCCACTACACATAGGAAAAAGAAGCGACAATTTGCAAGAGCTCAACAAAATTGGACAATTGAAGACTGGAAAAATGTTGCCTGGTCTGATGAGTCTGGATTTCTGTTGAGACATTCAGATGGTAGAGTCACATGGATCCATCATGCCTTGTTACCACTGTGCAGGCTGGTGGTGTAATGGTTTTCTTGGCACACTTTAGTGCCAATTGGGCATCGTTTAAATGCCACGGCCTACCTGAGCATTGTTTCTGACCATGTCCATCCCTTTATGGCCACCATGTCCCCATCCTCTGATGGCTACTTCCAGCAGGATAATGCACCATGTCACAAAGCTGGAATCATTTCAGATTGGTTTCTTGAACATGTCAATGAGTTGACTGTACCAAAATGGCCGCCACAGTCACCAGATCTCAACCCGATAGAGCATCTTTGGGATCCCATCTTCA